GATAGATAGATAGATAGATAGATAGATAGATAGATAGATAGATAGATTCATTCTTGGGTTCCCTTTGACACGCATGCGCACTGGCTTTGCTCTCGGAACCCTCCATAGGAGTTGGTGGTGGCGTTTGTTCTCAGAGACGATCTGTTCCATGAGAACGCGGGCACGTGCGGAAGGGGCGGTGCTCACCGTGACTCCCGGCCCCCCTCCCCCCTCCGTCACGTTTTCTTTCTCTCCGCGGATTGTGATTGCTGGAAGACAAAGTAACGCCGGAGATTGGCCGGGACAAACAGAATGTAGGTCAGGAGCTGCCCGAGCAAACACGAGGCTCGTAAAATAGCCTAAATGTGCCTAAACCCAACAGGAAGCCTGTTGCCGAGAGCACCAAGTCATTAAATGTAGGTCACCTGTCTCACCCTTGCGCGCGGGGGAGTTAGGTGGAATATGTTTATTCACCAGCTGGTTTTTTGTGTTCTCGGGAGGTGAGCTGGCTTTTTTCTAAACTCCTCGGCGCAGGCTTCAACCGGTTGGAAATGAGGCTAGAGGGTCATGACGCGTTTGATAGGAAAGTCCTCCCCTTTTCTCATCACATTTCACCGAGATCTGCCTCTGCGGGCTTCAGCTGGCGCAACCCTAACCGACTTCCATCAGCGTTCAGTCAGTGTGCTGATCTGGAAATGCCCCCCAGTTGAAACGAAGGGATGATCTCTTTTGAATTCTTCTGACCCAAGAATGTGAGAGAAAGATTCAGGACTAATATCCTAATGAGGACTGTTTAGAAAGACTTCACTCATCGTTCATTTCACACAGAGGACAATTTGTACTCCCCCGTGTTCACGAAAATAGTTAATTTCCTGTTAAGATTAGACATAAATGATTATATATTTAATAATTAGAAAACTGTTCATTGCCATCATCATCATTATAGATGCCAATGCTGCACATAAAACAGCAGCCAGAATAATGCTGATTAGAATTTATTTTAAAGATAAAATACAGCATAAACTAGAAAAAAAATAAAAAAATATTTATGGTTTATTGTCAAATAACTTAATAATGATAATATATGATATATGATATACACGCATATTGCTCCCCAGATGGGAATAGGCGGTATAGAAAATGGCCAGATATCTGTATAACTGCTCCTCAGATTCACAATGCAGGTCAGAATTAATCAGCATTTCCCACGTGTCAGACCACATTAGCACAACTAAACGTGGGTTCTTTGTCTGGTTCGGTAACGTGCTGGGCTGTGATCTCCTCTCCCAGCACGCTCCCTGAGGCCGGAGTGGGGCTGTGGGTGGTCAGACAGCGCCCCCTCGTGGCCAAAGCCCGCCACGCAGGCGACTTCTGCTGGATTTGGCCTTCGGGTCAAATGTCACCGAATCGGGTCCTCTGAACATGACCCACTCCTCAGCCCTGGCATCAAGAGCTTTTATCCCCTTACTGCCCTGTAGTGCATGCTAAAACCAAACAAATCTAAACGTCTACAAGCCCTTACTTGTTTGGGCAGAACCAGAACTATTAAATATGTCCAGTCATGCAAGGATGCATTTTAAATTTAAATTCTATTTGCAAAAGGAAGAAAGAAGAAAAAGGTCACATCTCCACCCCCGTTTGTAGCTCTGAGACGCAGCACCCGTTGGCACTCTCTGTCCCCCACAAGGGGGCAGTTTTAGCATGGGTGTGCGAGGTATGTTTTTTCAGTTATTTGTCAGGGCTTTTTGACCAAGCTTTTCACATCTTCACAAGTTCTAAAGTAAACACCGTCCGGCCTCTCAACCCTCTGCTGTGCCCACATGGTGCTCAGAATAGCCGTGGGGGGGGGGTGCATGAGCATGAATCAGCGCTAATAAAGAAAGGACTAAAACTGGCACAAAGTACATTAGCGTTGGTCCTCTAATGAGAGTTATTAAGAGCCCCCTCAGAACACAGGTAGTCCGGTAGGCCTCTGTCGCTCTTTCTATGACTTGCACACAGTGTGCTACAGCCCCGCATCACAAAGGGACACATCGAAACTCTCTGCATTTTTAAGATTTTTCTGTCGCATTTTTACTCCCACGGCCGATGCCCCGCGCGGCCATCCATACATCGCTGTCAAATGTCCAGCAACAGACTGTTTCTTAAAAGCATTTATTCGTTTTGCATTGAGGCATATGTCAGACTTTGGAATATAGTCAATCTTTTTGGAACATTTATAGCTTTTGCGTTTCATGTTTACACTTTCAGTGGCCATTCATGTGTTATGTGTGTTTTTAGGGGGTGATGATGATGATTATTCATGTTTTGATCCTCTATGCTTGATAAGTATCTTTGCTTACATGTCCTTAACGAATCAGGCTGAACTAATGTGGAATAAATTGTGCTTAAAAAACAAAAACAAAACCATATTTTTTTTCTTTTATTTAGTCTTACTTTAGTCAACATTAGGAACAGTGCCTATTTAACCCTGTGAATTCAGGCTTGAAGCATAGAATCATTTCCCCCTATAGCAGACTGGAGAATATTGGGCAAAACCCAGTGATATTAAGATGCATGTCATTAAATATGAAACAGTAATGTTTAGCCTTCTTTTCCTTAGCCCTGCTCAGCTGAAAAGCAGAAACAGCAACACTGACAGCTGCACTGAGCGCCTCTGTTACATACGATGAGGTACTGCAGCGCTCTCCATTTTTAAGGTTACCATGGTGAGGAGAACCTTTGGGGATGGAGGTCTGTCTTCTCTGCAGGAAAAGGTAAGTTTAAACAACGCGAAAAATACTGCAGCGATGTATTGTACAGTGAAGCCTTTAGCCCCGCACCCGACGAGAGAGAGCAGCGGCGGATACCAAAAGCCTGGAAACGAGCTCGTTAGGAAAAGTCTGTAAAATGTATTATGCATGCAAGGTTGCGCGCTGTGGGAATTGTTTCTTCTCCTTCCAAAATAAGGATGTGATGCTGCTAGTGCAGAAGAAAGCAAGAGTTCTGCATCAAAACAGCGAAAAGCATTAAATCAAACGGCTTCAATGTTCCAATCCCCTGTCCTCGTCTGGTGTTCAAGTCACACCAAAAAAAATCTGAAACGTTATTGGACTTTATAGAAACAGCACAAGGAAGGCTAAGTTTAGTACCATTAACAAAAGTGAACCGTGTCCTGTTTACCCCCACAGGGCATTTCCCAGTTTCTGACAGACAGTTCAGAGTTGACAGGTGCCCTCTCCCGAAGAGGTGCCATATTTTCCTGAGGGGGTCAGGGACGTTCTCACTGTGTCCAGGCAGTTTAGTGTGTTTTTTTAAAAAGCGAGGTCTTTCTGTGATCAGTAATCCTGAAGGCGGCCTGAGGGCCCAAGTGTTGATCCGGCATGGCTTAAAGGGGATGGCCTTGTTGAATGCAACATTTGCTCCTTAAATGCAAATGCAGCTAAATTACAGCCCACTGACAACAATGACCGCCCCCCCCCCCCCCACACACAGTTTTCTTTTGTTTAAAAGTGAATGGGGACTCATACTGGTGCACCTTTATCAAGAAGGAAAACCTTTAAAAACATCATATTTTCCAGGAAAATTGCTTTCACCTCCACCTGAATCTCACTTAGAAACCCATGAATGGCCTTTTTATGGTCAGGTACTTGAGAGACTTTAACAACCAGCAACATAATCTGCAGTCCCAGAAGAATATAGAAGGACATGATGTTCTGGCGTCTAGACTGTCTGAATTCACCACAAAGAAATTGGGTAAAAAGAGGGAGAGAACAGAGTTTCTTTATTGAACCATTGTTTACTCATCATCTAAATCAATACCTATGAGACACTTGACCCCACTGTCACTCCTGCGTGGAAGGATGGTGGGGTGAGTGGGAAGCTATGGCTTATCTTAGCACAAAGACAAAGGGGGAAACCAACGTGTGGTCACAGGCATATTGTAAATGTCTTTGGGTGAGGAACCTGCTGAGCTGTCTCTGGACAAGCAGGGCTTTCCCAAACGTAAACAAATACCTTGGTTAACTAACTTCAATCACGAACTTCGAAACAGAGAATTTGTCCCTAATAGTTTTCCTGGCTAAGCAAATGCCATACGAAAATCGACCGTATGCTTTCATTTCCTAACCTTAACCCAGTGCTTTGAATGCTTTACTCTTCTCCGTGCACTTAAAGTGTTTAACAGGGGAATAAAGCGTGTTGTTTGCCGCTTTATCTCCTTCCCTAACACGTTCGCTTTGTGTCAGATAACAGAGCCCAGCTCCCAGCGCCTTTTAAGCTCCCTGTTCAAGTTTAATCGTCTTCATAATATCGTCTTATAATCAGTTGGCCTTGAGTCACAGGTGGCTCCCATGGCAGTGCCAGAAATGAGAGAAGGCGGAGGAAAGGAGGAGGGGTTAAGGCGAGCGCGACCATGACTCCTCTATGAGTTCTTCTGCTCCGCCAATTTAACCATCTTAATCTTTCCGCCATCAAATCATCAAGTGTTCATGATGCGGCACCCTCCAATTACCATCTGTCCTGCAGGCAGTAACACTTCCACATCTCAGCTGTAATTAGACAATCACTTCCACATGTGGATTAAACTCCTGCAAACCACTCAACCCCTACCTCACCCTCCCTTCCGCCCACTGTCTCCTTTTTCCCCCCTCTGTTTTTCTTATTTCTCCATCTCACACTCCACTACCCTCCCTGTGCCCCTTCTCTTTTTTTCTCCCCTCCTCTTTTGACTTTCTTTCTGATTGAATTACCATAAGTGCAGGTCGTGGCCAAAATATGCCAGCTTGTTCTGATTAAAACTGTCCTTGTTATACGAGAGACTTTCCAAAAAGGCTGTGAGCAGTTTGTGTTGTGTGTGTTTGGGGGCTCGGTTTGGGGGTGAAGGGGTGTTGAAAAGGAAAATGTAACCAGACAACTTTGTATGGCGAAAGATAAAGAGTGGAAGTCCAAGAGCAAGACGGGGATAGAGTGGAAGAAGATGGAGAGGTATGGCGGTAGATTGGGAACAGAGAGGTTATGAGACAGTAATGGTAGTTGACAGAGTTGGGTTCACAACAGGTTCATAGTGACATCATGGTTGAATTTGGAGGAACTTTATAAAGGAAAAACTATTTGCTCTTCATTGGATGCACATGTACATCACGGACCGTCCTTTTCTTTTTTATCCACTTTCCGTCTAAACTTGGCCCGATCAAATGCTGCTCCAAACAACAGCAAATATGCATATTTGCTTTGGAAATGTAGAATTACCTAATGTCTGCGGTGCTCTATAACTCTGTGTAAACATTAGGGTTTGCCTGTGTTTTAGTGGCACAGCGCCTTGATTTCTCCAGTTGTTTGTTAAACTTTACAACTCAAAATTACCAACAGCCACCCGGTGTCACTCCTTTCCATTTTTCCTCCCTCCTTTTCTTCCCCCAGCCCTTGTTTTCTCTCCTCGTTTGCTCCCTCTTTTTTCGCCTGCAAGTCTAGCCAACCCTCGCCACTGGTACAGTATGTTCTTTGTGTGTAGGCATGTTTAGTAGCTTGAGAGACAGAAAATACATAAAGGAGCCTTGGGACCTGAAATGTGTTTATAATGTACGTGTGGGTGTGATTATATTTGTGTCAGCTCTTTTCCTTGCTGGAGGAAAATTAATAACAGGGTGTTGTGGTGTATTAAAGGCTCTTTGTGTGCTGTGCATGTGTGCTCCTTGAGTCGTGGTGCCAGTGTTAATTGGTTTGTGGGCTGTGCTACGATCACTCTGTCTGTGCGATTCTGCATACATGCTCGTATGTCTATGTAGCGAAAGCAGGCGAGCCAGCTTGTCATGCATGCCTGTCATCTTCTGCATGCTTCTCCGTGCACCAAAGAGCCTCACATGACATCAATCTGAGAGCAGTGGGATAGTGATCTCATTACCAACAGCCTGTTGCTGATTAAAACCTGCCGTCTGCACCCTCTGCCTTACCAGTTTCTTTTCTTCTCCCCCCTTGCTACTCTCCCCTGCCTCCTTGTCCTTTGCCTTGCCCCCCCCCCCCCCCCCCCACTGCTTCCTCCACCCTTCGACTCCAGAGTCGCGCTGCTCTGCGGTTTCTCCAATGCTCGCTGCCAAAAAGGGCCCCATTTCAAGCTCTGCAGAAGGTTATATGCGCCCCTCTTTTTTCCTCCTCAGTTTTCTTCCATTCCTTTCTTCTTTGTTTTACATCTGTAGACTCGTTATTAGAGGTCATACCTTCAAAACCCGACCTCCGGGCCACATCGAACACCATTACGTGTTCTAATCTCGCCTCATTAATGTCATTTGATGATCATCGACTCTACATTAGAAAGGAAATGTTGTTGTAATGCATCCAAATACATGTGCAGAATAGGGTGCGTCAAAACACAAAGAAATACGCGAATGCTTCTTTTTTACTCACTCAGACAGCAAACACTCCTCTGGGCACAGTTCACTGACAGAGAAACACAAACAGCACCAACCTCTCACCTTCCAAATTGGCACTGCAGCTGAGAAGAGTGGCTGGAACCCAAAAGATTACAGCAAACTCGAGACTAGTCCATGTTGTGACTTTGCTGATAAAAAAGAAAGCTTAGGTGTCACATATTAAAAGACTGAGTAAATTAGTCACAATGATCCTTCTGTAAAAGAAAGTGTGAGCAGCCCAAAAAGTGACAAAGTTTAGAAGTTTTTTCTAAGAAGTGATATTCAACCCTCTTTTGCATTTCAAGTGTTTAGATATTCCAACCCCTTATATTTCAAATGAGTGTTTCAAAACTTACCCGCAATCTCTACTACAGTAGTTCAGGACTGTGTTCAGGCCAGTCCAGAACCCAAAACCTCATCCTTCTCAGCCATCCATTTTGAGTTTGAGTAGAAAGTGCTTTTCTTTATTTCTTCATAGAAATATGGGGATAAATACAACTCAGGAAGAAAAGCAATCATCTGCCTGTTTGGAGGTTACTGATTTAACTCCATTGTCTGTTACAATTAACTTTTTATTTTCAACAAATATAATCATTAAATAATGCTTGGTTTCATACTATATGAAACCATAGAAACTTTTATTTTCTGTTATATTTGTCTTTCTCTCTTGAGTTTGTGGCCCTTAAAATGATGTGGCTCTCCCTAATTTGAAACCACATTAACTTTATGTGACGCTTAAAAGTCTTAAAGTGTCCAAAAGCACTCTGGAACTGAGATTCCACAGATCACAACTTTGGTTTCCCACCGAGCTCACTTGACATTTTTTTTAGGCTTTTAATTGGCCTCTTCACTTTGACAAAACATCAATGTATATGGTTGTTCCTGTACAGGGATCCCATGGAGATTTAATCCTTTTTGCCATACTCTTACATTCCACAATTATGGGACAAGCCAAACAGAGAAGAATACATTTCCGTTGTTACTTTCAGTGTAAGCAAGATGCGGTGGGATAGGCAACAAAAAGCCCCAAATATTTTCCATTTTCAAACAGAAAACATCCTACCAATGGCCCTGTCCAGGGGGTACCCCACCTCTCACTCCAACAATAGCTGGGATAGGTGTCTTTGGGTCCTTGAAAGGACTCTTTAGAAAAGTAGATGAGTATTTAATAATATTTTTGAATGTACAAAATGTGTACACAAATGAATATGTACACTTACATTTGGTAATAATCTGGACCATAGTTTGCTAGAACCAAACAACTAAAGTGGGAGGAAAGAGGAAATGTTAGGCTGCCGGCACTGCTGCTGCCTGTTGCTGGATGGCTCTTTAGTGGGTTGACTTGCCACCGAGGCCAGTCAGTCAGACAGTAGCAGACAGTTTTATCTTTGACATGAAGAGGCAGTTAGCTCTGCCCCTCAAGGGCTGACTGGCCAGGTTTGATCTCATCACGGATCAAATGCGACTCCATTAAATGTTTCCTTACCAGAAAAACCACTGGGTTGATTTGCTTAGGAAAATCCTGTAGGAGGAAAAGAGTCAACTTGAATAGATTTAAAGCTGTGGAAACTGCGAGGAGAAAGGCCCTTTGTGCTTCTCAACCTTGGCAAGAAGGAAAACAGCATAGCCGTTTGCATTTTGGAGATTTCATAAAGTCAACTGATATCCATACCAGGCTTTGAACAAACGTAAGCAAAATGTAGCCCTCCTGTGTTTGCAACACTGTGAATGTGGGAATATATGAGTGTGTGAAGACAGATTCCTAGTGTGCAACTTCTTTATACATTGTCGCGTAGTCTAAAATTCTGAATGTGTTGGCTGATATCAGAGAATTCCACGCCGGCGTGTTGTGTCGTAAAAAGGCCTCTGATTAGCTACATCATCTGGTGTCTCGCGTCTGCCGGCATTGCTCCCAAAGTCAAGGCATTACAAACATGGAGAGAAAGCCAGGGACTGACACTGATATCCCCAAAGGTGTGCGGCCCCCTGCTCTGCTCTCATGCGAGCGTAAGTGTCATGCTATCCTTGGATGATGAGCAAGAGAGAAATAAATTTAGAGATTCAAAGCAAACAGCCGCACGCTTGTAATCCAACGAAAAAGCGTTGACTGACAGTATGCGTTAGATTGTGTTAAGGTAAAAAGTGACTGTGAGACAAAGACAGAGAGGAGGATGGGGTTGGGGGGGGGGGGGGGGGCTGCAAGTTGAAACTTAAGCTCTCTGAACCCTGTTTTCCTTGCCTTGGGGCATTCTGTGGCTGGTAAAAATATGTGCTGTATATTTGAAGTGTTGGATCACGTGACAGAGGCAGGGTTTGTGAATCAAAGTACACAATGATTTCAAGAGGAGCAAGAGAAAGAGAGAAAGAGGGTGTAGGTTAGTGAGCGGCGGAGCCGGGAAAAGGAGAGAGAGGCGGAATGCAACAGGCTGAGCTCTGTTGTCGCTCTGAAACAGACTTCTGACGGACAAACACAACTACTACTCTCCTTCTCAACCGGCCCGTCCACTGAGTCAGCCCCGAACACCAGCAGCCCGTGTCCAGCACGTCGAGCATTTGGTGAGTTTGTTTTTTCGCTTCTGTTTTTCTCATAACTTCTCTCTGTGTGCAGACAGGCAGACGGACGGAGGACATGTCAGAGCATGAGTGAGATGTGCTTCTCCTGTCCCTCTGCCTCGCTTGTGTTGTGCGTATGTGTGCGTATGTGTGTGTGTGTGTGTGTTTGTGGGACAGCTTGAGTGGGGAGATTGAGTTTCCTGAGGACAGCTTTAATTGAGAACAGAGATTTTCAGAGGGGCAGAAAGAACAACAGGAACAGCTAAGGAAGGGAATGAAAGCTGCTCAGCACTCGCATGTGCTCTCAAGCCGCCGTCTTTGAGAGGACGAACACTTCTGGAAACAGGAGTTAGCCCTCATTTGTTTGAGGGGTTTATTCCGGGCTTCACAAATCGGGGTCCACGGTTGTCGAGAGATCCCGATTGTGTCCGGAAGAAAAGGAAATCAGCGCAGGCAGACGCTGAAATTCCAGAGATTTTTCAAGAGCGACATTTGATAGTGGCAGAATTCCCCAAATAACACGTGGCATAACATTTTCTGCTGTGGCAAACATGGGTTTTTGTCCAGCCTCGCGACAGTTTCAAACCATTTACCGGCAGCAGACGGAGGGACTGCAGCAGCCCGCAGGCTCCCTGCCAACAGACAGCCTGTCAAAGTTGATGGATTGCTCCATCAAGATCACAAATGGCTGACTAGGTCTAGTCTACCTGCATGTGTACACAGTCACTCATCTCCCCTGAAGGTTATATAAACCGGTTCCCCTTCACACAATTACATAAGCTGGATGGAAACACTAAAATAGGCTTTGTTGGATATCACAAGGCAATCTGCTGCGTGTCGGACCACTGCTGCTGCTTTGCATTACGTGCCTGTGCTTGTAAGATAGAGCATGTGTGCGAATAAACTAACTGACCCCCGCACTGTGCTCTTTTTAGCCGGGCTGAATCATTTCAAATAGCATCCTTTGTGCGGCGTGTGCTATATAAATACAAATGGGCTGCTTGATTGATGATCGTGATTAAGATGGTATTTGCATGCTAAACGCTTCCTCTCAGCTGATCCCAGCTTTCTGCATCCATCACCTAACAGTACACTGATGAGTGCTGACACCACGCCACGCGATGATATGCGCGGCGATGCAAGGCCTCGCAAACTCTTGACGAATCTCCAGATGAATTTTCCTTAGTGTGTAAAGGAAGTGCATAAACAAGTGAGTGTGAGCAGCGCTTTGTATATTACAGACCACACTGTGGAGAACAGACTCACCGAATGTTACTTCCCCTCTCTCCTCTGACCTGCCTTTCATCACTTGGTCATTTTCTCCGTCAGTGGATGCCTGGAGAGTTACTCTATAGAATAGACTCGACGTTGCAAAACACTCAGTATGCGTCTGTTGTTGGTTAAGTCTTTTTTTTTTTCTTTTTTTTTTTGGCTCGATCACACAGAGAGTACGCTACTGGAAAAGTTTGTGTGAGCCTGCACGGCCAATTGTCGGGGTGCGTCGGGTAAAACTTCTTAGCCTGCACTCCATCCTCATCTTTGTTCTCTTCACTTTTGAAGAATGACAGCCCCTCAGGCTGAGAAGGATGTCTGGCTCTTGTTTTTTTTTTCCGTTCTATCTCTCTTTCTTTAACCCCGTCTCACTGACCTCCTTCTGCTTTATTTCCTCACTATCGGAGGAAAAAAAAAAAACAGAAAAGAAGAATTCTCCATCCTCTTTGCTGGTGCGTGTCAGCTGAGTTTAATTTCGTATGGGTTTGTTCTCTTGGTTGCTACATATAAATGGATACTTAGAGACTCCATGACAAAAGCCCGACCGTTTGAGAGCGGAAGACACAAATGTTTTCTTGTTCTTCAGGATTACATATTGTCCATAGAGGGTTGTTTTTTAGAGGGATTTGGTTAGAGCCATGCACTGGTTGTGGTTTGAGTTGACGGTCTCCATTGGCTTCATGGATTCAAAGTGACTTGTGACATTTTTTGTCCCTCCCTTTTAAAAGTAAAGAGTCATGCATGAATGCATCTTAGTGAGTCTGACGAGCCTCTTTGGTTATTAAACATGCCCAGGGATGGCCTCACAAGTTAAACTAAAAGTGCTCTAAACACACATCCAATGTGGAGGAACAGCCAGAAACAGACTGAACATGTGTGTGCGTGTGTGTGTGTGTGTGTGTGTCACTTTTGACTTTTATGCTAAATGAAAAGCTGCCTAACTAATGCCTAAATAAGGCCTGACCCATGGCAGAGCGGCTGAGCCTGGAGCTACAGGGGCTGACCTCAGCGCCGACCTGGAGACCCTCAGCAGCCCAGAGGGTAGCCTCCACATAATGACAACATTGTGTGTAGTATGAAACATTGCTATCACCAACATAATCTCGTTTGGAACCACTAAGACATAAGTCTCTCATTGTTATTCCATGTGTGTCAGACAGCTTATATATTGAGCAGTGTAAGTGACACTTTATGGAAAGGAGTCATAAATTTAGTGGTATGTGGTCATGTTGACCTCATAGAATTATTTTATTAATCAACCTTTTGATTGATGAATGAGTAGCTGGGCTATGGAACACCAGATAATCATAATACATACACCGTGGTGTGGAAGAGCTGCAGTATCTTAGTCCACAACACTCAGAGAGTCACAACATTTCCTTATTTCTGTATACTGGCAGTTCAGAGCTGTAGCAATTCAGCTGTGGACTCAGTTGTCTACAAGATTTTTGATCATCTTAATCTTGTTAAGTACCATCAAAAATGTATTAATGGCCTCATTTTCAATGCTCAAATCATGTCAAACCCTTTTTCCTCAGCAAATTGGAACATGCTTGCTTCTTTCACAGTGCCATAGAAGTTCCAGTTGGTATAGCACAACTTTTAAAAGTTCTAAAACCCTCATGAAGAGGAGGTCAGAGGTCAGATGGGGGTGTTACTCCACAGACCCAGCACTGTCCAACAATTTGTCATATGTCTTATTTCCTGTCAGTTATGGTTGTTTGGAGATAGCGAGAAGATTCACGTTGTTTATTCCTAACGCATCAAGTTAGCCCAAGACAAAAGGCAATTAATGTGGCAATTTCAGGATTTTTGGACCATTATTATGACTTGCGTTCTATTTGTAACACCCATTTGATACGCTCAGGCAAATGCCACTGACTACAGCCAGGCACAGAGATGCTTTTAATTATGGATTACACGGATTTATCATGGCTGTGTTGTTATATAGCCAGCATTTGTTTGGAGCATTCTTTGAGCACATTTTTAGACATTGATGCCAAAGTGGAATATCTATGTGAATGGTAGGATGAGAAACTTGACCGGAATTAAGGCCAACACCAACAAAACAAATAGTTTATTGGTTGACGTGAAGACATAGATTTCATCGGATTTCTATAGCTTAGTCTCATTAGTTACAAAAGAGTGTGTTTCATATATTTTCTCAAAATGGGAATCTTCTCTCCCAAGTCCAGCAAAAAATGTCCATGAGATGAATAACCCACGATCATTTCATCAACATATTTCTGAGAAATGATACTTGGAAAACATATCAAGTAGTGTTTTGAGGCCTAATGTATACAACTTTGTGTACATTCTTGACAAAGCCAACAGCATAATCATGGGCATAAATTGTAAATATGTGTGCACTGCAGCCAGAAGCATTTTGTGGTTACATGATAGCTGTCAGATACTGACGGTTTATGGCCAAGTAGTATTTCTGCTTCTCAAAAGAATTTTTACATGTCAGTTGGACATGAAATATTGTACAGTCATTTGTTGGAAAATCCAATTATGTTGTTTGTGGGTGATGGTGCCTGTGTTTTTCTCCTTGCTAATAGCATTCGTGTGTTAGTATGTGCATTTTCTCCTGTGTGTGTACACCGCAGATCACCTCCTGGAGCACTCAGAGTAAGTCAAACTTGACTGTGGTGGTATTTGGTTTTACAGGTAATTGTCCCTGTTGAAGTAATATTTTTTCCATGCACAGGACTATTTTTGAAGAGTGTTCTTTACTCTGAACTCCATTTTGTCCTTTCATTTCCTTGGCACTTCGTCTCCATAGATACAGTACATCTATTCTACTTGACATTCAACAAATCCATTCTTTGTTTCTTTTTCCATCCCCAAACACAGAACTCTGCGCTGGCCTTTTCATACATCTTTATTGTTCAAGTCAAGTGAAGTTGAGTAAACAGCGTTTGCATGCAGTGCCGATAAAAAAAGGGTTTTATAAAAGAAGGGGAGAGAATGGCAGATGATAAAAAGCTCATGTTCAAAAAGGAACACAACATTATCAATTGAGAACACACAAAATATAAAGACCTGCGGCATATTGCCTATTTTCCATTATTTTCCATTTAACTATATCATCCTCAATAGAAATAATACATAATAGTTGGAAGGAGCAGGCACAACTCTTCGCATCTATTTACAGGCCGGAGAAAATAATCCAGAAATATTAAATTACATTGAGAACAAGTAGACATTTTTGTTCTTGTTGCTTGTCCAAACCCCAAAAACATCAAAGTGTGTTTAACATCTGTGTTTGACCGTTGTGTGTGTGTGTGCGTGTGTGTGTGTGTTGAAATTCTAACTGGTCAAAATAGTAAAACAAGAAATATCATCGAGCAATCTGTTTGAAGTGCCAATACTGAGGACTTGTCAAACGAACAAAACATAATAGTGTGACTGTTGTCAGAGCAATAAAATGTGTTCTTTATGGCAGCTGAAGGAAACCCCAGCTCTGTGTCATGTCCCACGACTGACTTTTACACTTTAACTGTTGGCTGAAAATATTTATCTTCCCAAAAAGTTCGGTGTACCCATGTGTGACAAATGTTCCCATCGAAATTTCTCACACCTCAGACCACATCGAATTTCCTCCAGCTCTGCCGTAATTCACCCAACATGGTTAAGAGCATATTGGTTTGATAAGCCAAACTCCTTTCTGCCCAAAGGATGTGACAAGGGGACATGTGAGCAGTCCCATTCCAAACAGGATGAAATCA